TTACAGTAACACCTAGAGGCCCCAGTTGAAACGGAGACTGTACGAACATATAGTGAGAGACAGTCCCTGCCTCAAAGAAAGGTATGTCTGAACAGGCAAAAGTGGCCTGTGATGCGCCACATAAATTTGTAGGGCCAGATTTTCAAAAAAGAATTCAGCACCCAGCAGATCCCATTGAGAACTTCATTTAGGAGCCAAAATGGGAGCTGAGGAATTTTGAAAATTTAGCGTGTAATACCTGAACAATGCAAATTCAGACAGAGAATGCAACTCATATGTACATGTGTTAAAAGAGTTAACTATGACCTGTGATTCTGGCACATTAGCATCAGACACCATTTGGGATCAACTCATTGAGAAGTGTGCTCACAAAACACTGCATGACAGATACTTGCAATAGGAGGGGTCAAGTGCACAACTGTATGAGTCACCATGGACAGAATCTACAGTTCCTTCTGCTTTGTCTGGAGAAAAGAGCCTTTACAGAGGGCCATCTTATTGCACAATTAACAAAGGAAGAATTAATATTCCCATTGTACAGATAGGGGAACTGAGGCACAGAAAAAAATAATTTGTTTTTCCTAATCCTCTCTAGTGTATAGTAATACGGTAGTATCCTTTTTTATCCTTTCTAAATTAGCAGTTTACTTGCAGGCCCTTTTTGTTTAAATTTCAATGGTCTTTGCAGTCACTCTCTATTGCACTGTATTCCTGAGTTAGGTGTTCATCTTCGTCACCAATTGTTACATCTTTTGCTTTTTATAGGACAATAAAAATAGTATGAAGAAGCTACATGGGCACAGTTGGGTTCCAAATAAATCATCTTTACTAACTATAGATAAACATGCAAGGCTAGCTGCATACATCTTGCTGCTCTGACTGCTTTCCGAGAGCTTCTGCAATATAAAACACAGTAAGCATCACTAGAGGGCTCACAAATTATTTAAAAGGACAAATATCCTCACAGTACATACTACACCCCCATCCCTCATCACCCTCTTTTCTCCTCCACCCACAAAATACCCTTAAGTGTGACACAAGCTCAGTTTTACTTTGTCACCTGGGCTTTATGGAGTCTTTTCAGCTCCTCTTGTTTAACCAGTTGCTTTGTTTCCTTTTCTAGTTTTCTCCTTCTTCTAAGGGTCCTTTTTGCCTACAAGAGTAAGAGGAGAAAAGAAGGTAATCAATACCCTGTACTTAGTCATCTTAGATTTTCATAGACTTTTGCCAGCTGCAAATGTTAAGTAGTTTTTGATTCACTCAGCTAGGTTTATTCTCAGCCATTAAGACATTATCAGAAAGACCCTCACTGCATCCCTAGTTAAGCATTAGCTATTTCTGTCAATGAAAGGAAAATTGAATCAATAGAGCTACACAACTACACGCCTATAACCACACATCTCACAAGAACTTCTGTGAACATCATGGTTACCAGAGAACAGAAAGTACCAGCTTCCTATGAAAAACATGACCTATTTTTTACTGTATCCGACCGTCACTAAATATTCAGTTCCTTTGTGTAAATAATCATTTCTTTGTTAGTTAAAATCTTATTTTATATGTAAAAATATGCTTTCCAAAAACAACTGGGCTTGATACCTAGCTAGTGTGGCTTCACTGAAGTCCATGGAACTATGCCAATTTATACCAGAAGAGGATCTGGCCCTCTGTTTATTAATCAACTCTGATGCAATTCTGAAGTCAGTCATATTATACAACAGCAGTTCACTTTGAGCAGCTTGTAATGTAACAAGATTGATGTAGTCTGAAGCAGTGCAACAATCACGTTAGCATCTGAAACTGGATAATGTTTGTCTTCTCCAAAAGCAGCTTAATTATTGCCATTAAAGAGCATCCTTTTCTTTTCTTTTTTGTCCCCTCTCTTCCCGGTGATAACCAACACCCCTCATTTTTCAAGTTACAGGTATGTTGCAATGGGAACATTTTTATGGACACAAATCACTGACCACTGCAATGCCCTCCAAGAAGTACAAACAAAGCAATTGTTAAAGGGTTCACATAGGGAGTGGCATGCACTGTTTAATCTTGTTCCTCACTTATATGATCTGAAAATGTTTCAAGACCAGTCATGATTTCCCACTCAAAGAAAAAGAAAGACAGGAAATAAGAGAATAATAGACAAGAAAACAGAAGTCTAGAAGCCAGTTCTCTCAGAATGCTACATTTCAGTTTCTCTTCAGTTTGGTCAGTGGAGCATGGCAACATCTTTAAGATACGAGGCAAAACTGGTATGTCAACTGTCACAGGGCGCCGACTGAGATGAATTGATACATTTAATAGTGGATGTGACTCAAAATAGGGCAAGAAATGCCAGGCCTGAGCCACTGCCACTGGTTTGTGCTATCGTTTGTCATTTACACCGTATTCCACCTGACATAGGTTAGAGCTAGTCTTTGCTCATTCCCGTATGTCCCTTTGTGCCTGCCGCTGGTTGAATTCTTGAAACTCATTCCTGTTCAGTTCATGCCTGGATTTGTTTTCTTTGTTTTTTCACCTATATGTTTTCTGTATTTCATTTAATTCCCCATTATATTTTTTTCTATTTCAGTTCCTTTTTCTGGTTCTTTCTCCTTACACTTTGTGGTTTTTGGTTTTGTTTATTTAAAGGGCTTTATTCTTTGAAGCTTCTGGTTTTTGAGTTTAACAAGATCTGTCTCTGAACCATCACTTACTCATTTTTCTTTTACAAATAACTGATGTCTTCAACACAGAATACCCAGGAAAACTTTGAAACACTGTTATAGCCAATAATTGGTTTAAAAAAAATTACATAACATTGATGGTAGCCTCAAACATCAAAGTGAGTGGGAAGCAGTTGCTGCATCTCCATTCCACGTAGGAATGCATGTGGGAGAGCCTCTTCCACCCTGAAAATGTCTCCTAAACTGTCTCTTTGAGACATGTTTGCTGGGGAATTGTAGGTAGGAGCAGTGGGAGGAGCAGCAGTTAAAAGACAAATGTAACGAGAACTGAAGAAAGTGGCCACCCTTTCTACTTTTCAAGTCCTTCCCTCTAAGCCAAGTTTTTGCAAAGTTTAAATTGATATTTCTTGCACATCTTTTGATGAGTTTGGGAGGGAAAGATTGGGGTCAAATGGAACAGATCAGCTTACCCTTTGTTGCATTGGTTTGGAGAGTCCTTCAAAATATTAATCTGCACCTTTGAAAAATACACTAGTGGGTTTGCTGCCTTGCTTCCTCAATGAACCTTTGCCCTTTTTGACACAGACATATCCAGGCAGGTATATTACCTCTGTGTCTGACCATCTTCTCAATATTTCACTGAAGGGGATCATGGATGGTTTCTGCCGAAAGCTAAGAACTAGCTGATTGTCATGGTTATTGTCAGTGGAGAATGGGAAATAGTTTAAGAGACATGCAAAATGTAGCATATTAAGTTGCAAAACTATTGAAGTCAGACTTGTCACCTGAGGTGAGGTAGGGCCTCATGGCTAACTCAATCAATGCTGAGAACAATGGGCATCCATGGAGACAACACTTGGTCTACTGCCTGGACCAGGTGAAGACCTGAGACAAAGGAACCCCAGGAGAGCTCTCTGAAGAGGGGGCCCCCTGGGCTAAGAGACAATAGCCTGTAACTGCATAAGCGCAGAAGAAATGGCAACACGTTGTTATCCATTACAGAGGAGAAACTCTGCCTGTCGGTGGGTTTCATGAAAGGATTCCAGTTTTCTGAATTGGACAAGTGCTGCAAGGACTAACCATTGGGTGAGAAATACCTTATTAAAAAGTTACTTTCCTGTCTAATAAGTATAGGCTATAGATTGTGTTTTAGGGTTTTCTTTTATTTGTAACCTTGTGTCTCCAAACTGTTATACTTGCCGTTTTTTGGATTTGTATCTCAAGCTTTGTTAAATAAACTTCAATTTAGTTTCACTATAGACAAGTCTAAGTGCCTTGTGCTAAGGAGACTGTCAAATTGAGGTGAAACCAGTGAATTGGGCTGCACTGCTTCCACAGAGGCAGCAGATAGGAGTACATTGAGGGTGTCCAGAAGATAGGGGACTGGGCACTCCAGTGTAACAAAGTGAGGTGTGTAAACTGCTAGCCTGCAGGAGGAAAAAGTAGGTCTCCTGGAGCCTGGAGCAGAGTGCCTATGTTGCCAGCAGCTAGTGGCTAGGGAGTGTTCCTCTGGTTGGCAGGAGACAGAGCTCCTTTCTGCTGTGGGCTGGTGGCTGGGATAAACCCTAGACACCTCAGGTAAGCCCGAAAAGTGTCATACCCTTGTATTTCAAAATGTTGTGATTCCTGTGGAAATAGGTTATTGGATTTTGGGCCCTTCAGGTTTTGGTCATTCCAAGCCTGATTTAACCTCAGTTCAACCTTCTGGGTTGCAGCGTGCTACTGCGTGTACAGACCCCGGTCATTGGTGGGCGGGATCGAACCGGGGACCTCTGCAGCTTAATGCATGAGCCGCTACAGCATAAGCTAAAAGCCAGCAGGCTATTAGCTAAGGCTGTAGAGCAGACTCATTTTCTCTCTTTCTCCCTCCCCACCACTAGATGGGACAGAACACCACACCCAGAAGGTGTGTGGGTTACGCTACCAACATTAAGTTGTTTAATTTAAAAAACAAAACAACTCACAATGCCACCTCCTAATCAAGCAACCTCTCTAGTTAGGCCGTCTACTGATGCTACTTATTGAAGCCCCTCCACTTTCAGAGAAAGGGTAAACAAGTCTCTGATGAGCCATTCAGCCTACAGAATCTCTCTCTGCAAGTAAGAGATGAAGAGCAAAACCTCATTGGTATTTTAGCTTTCTTATTTCCTATTAGATACAGAAACACAGCTAGACCTATCTGAGCCCAGTATTCAGTAGGCATTTTGGGGGTATAATTTTGTGATGGGACTGCATGGCTCATTTAATATTTCTGATTAGAATAAATATAACATTTTCCATGCAATCTGCCTGTAAGTTCTTTTTAAATGAAGTGGTGTTTCCCCAAGGGAAATCTGCATCTGTTTGTTTTAATTTTTTCAATGGTTTGTTTGTTGGGCTACATATTAAAACCACTTAAGAAATGCAGCTTCAAAGTGGTTTATGTAAAGCACGTCTGTTATTCAAATTAAATCCATCTCTGTCAAAATTCTTATAACCTGGGGGGGCGGTTCTGATAGGTACAAGAAATTCTGGTACCTGTCTTTCGGAAAGAGACCTGATGTGGTTCAATCCATTATATATTACAATACTACGTTTAGATGTCAACACCCCCCCAAAACTGTTCTGTTTTAAAATCAAAATCACACAAATCTTAAGTATAATTCAACAGTGAAAGCTTATTTTTGTTTCTAAGTAAAGGTTACCTTGAGTGCTATTGAAGGCTTGTGTTCAAATTCACCATCAGAGGAAGAACAACAACATGTAGTCACTTGTTTTTTGACAGATAGGTGTTCAGAGCCTAAAATGCAAGAACAAAGTGAAGCAGGAAGTATTCTCCCTTGAGACATATGGACATTCACCCTAGCCACTTGCATAATGCACCTGTCCTGAGCTTTATTAGGTTGCACCTAAAGGCAATTTGGAAATTCGGCTGATCATGTTAATTAAATTTTTGGCCACTGTCCAAAGCCTTTGCTGCTTGTTATTTGGAATTCTTTTTAAAACATACCAGTATTATGTATCAATCAATTAATTTCTTAAACGCCATCTATGTAGCATGATGCTCAAAATGTATTCAGAAATGAAATTTGTTATTAAAAAGCATATCTGAAGTTAGCCATATTACTTAAATGATTGTGTAAGGCTCACCATGCGGTGTAATTGAATGCAAAAAGTCTGAGCCAGCTCTTAAACAAATTACCCTTGTGGCTTCTAGCATCTGGCACCCATTTTTACTACATGACATCTGCTCAGTGTAAAATAGCTGGCGTCAGAATGTCTGGTCATATAAAAAAATCACAAATGTAATCAGAAGCAAATGGACTAAGAGAACAAGGTTTTATCACATAGTCTCATGCAACATAAATATTTCATTAATTATGTCTAAACAAATGTCACTTATTTTTCTGTCTTAAGAATATTATCACATCATTGAACTGTTGATTAAAATGCCATAATAAGTCAGGAAAATCCATACATCACAACAATATACTCTGAGGGAAATTCAAAAGATATCATTGGGAAAAACATGCATTCAGGGATACAAATTAATGTATATTTAACTACAACAATTTTATTATGCCCATTTCACCAGAGTCTTGTTCTAGCTGGCTGTTTTGTTCTTCTCAATTTATTTGTTTAATTCATATCTTTATTCTCTTTGTTTAAAGAAATAAAACTGCTCCAGGAACATCTGTCTCCACACTTCAACCTGCTGCAGGTTAATGATTAACATCTGCACTGGACTGCATCTTGGGAGTACACACAATTTAAAGTGATCAATGACTTCTTGCTTAGCATTTGCCAGGTAACTGTTGATTTGCTATAATCCAGTATATGAATGCAAGTTTTATTTGGAATATGATCACTTCCCATTCCCCCTCTGTGTAAGTTTCCCTTCCTTTTCTCATTTGTTTCACTGTGAATCCAAACCCTTCAAAAGCAGATGTAATTTCTGTCTCGAAAAAGACTTTAAAATTGGAGTCACTGAAACATGTTCATTCCAGAAAAAGTAAGTAAATGGTAGCAAGCACAACAATAGAGGGCCAAATTCTGCTTGCAATAAGGCCAGGTCTACATTACCACTTAGGCTGGCAAAACTTATGTTGCTCAGGGTGTGAAAAAAACACCGCCCCTCAGAGCAACAAAAAAGTTACCCCGGCCTAAGTGACAGTGTGCAAAATGCTATGTCGGTGGAAGAGCTGCTCCTGCAGCTCATTGCAGGTGGTTTAATTATATCGATGGGAGAGCTCTCAGCTGTGCTGCTGTAAGCTCTCTAGTGTAGACATAGCCTCAGTTACATCAACGTTAATCATGGAATAACTCCGTTGACTTCACACCAAACCACTGACCTTAATGAAGTTGCAGGCTTAGAAAGGTTTAATTGAGAGCAGAATGGGTCCTCATAAGATTTCTAGGAGCTATACAGGTCAAGAAAAACAGTTACTCATAAAAAGAGGAGCTGTCTAGACTCAAGAAGCCACTTTACAGTTAGCATTCTGAAAGACACACGGCCACATCTCCAAGTGTGCCTGAGCTGTACTCTATGTATGGGAACAATGTGGAGCTTTCCACTCCTCACCCCATCTTTAGAGAAAAGGACAGGGTACAAGTCAGAGTGGCTCTAACTTGCACCTGCTAAAATAGCCCTTTAGGGACTGATCAGCTGATCAGGATTGCCAGTGTACAGAAAGGTCATGCCTACCTCGGCATGTCCAGAACACTGTAGGGCCAGCAGTAGATGGTGTACAGCCAGTTTTGCCAGCTTTATGTTATCCAGGGAAATTCTCTAAGACAGCCTTCACACTGTCAGAATGGGTAAAAAGGAATGAATTAGAGTTCTGGCTTGCAGTCTTGTTTCTTTTGATGGATTAACTCATTCAAATATCATCTCTCACTTGATTTTGTTTTTCCTCTGTTCTTTACCAAATATCTCCAGTATCTTTCTTCTGATCACACTGTCACTGAAATAAAATTTCATAAAATGCAAATTTTTAAGCTTTACAAAATTTTCTGGTGGGGTTGGCAACACAATCAATTACATGCTCCCTTTCTTCTTTCTTCAGTGGGAATAAATTATTGCCTTCCTCTGTCCTCCTCTCTGAGTTACATCAATAATTAAAAAGTGTTACAAGGTCTAGAGGATAAACAGCCTTCTGTGATACAAAAGCACCTGTCTCCTTCTCAAGGGACTCCGACTTGGGAGTTGTTTGCCTTTTTGGAACAGAGGCAGTGTCATTCACTTCCCTAAGGGTTTAGGACAAGGGCCATCACCAGAGGATGAAGAAGTCAGTGTCCTTACATAAAATAGATTAATAGTATAGTCCCAACATTGCCTGTCATCTTATGTATTCTGGAATGTCAGGCATCTGTCTCTTATTCTGCTTGGGAAATCAATTTAGATGGTCTGTAAAAAGTCCAGTCTTTCAAGGGACATTGTATAAGCATTGTTAGAAGACACCAAGCAACTAAGTGACAACTAGCAATGCCCCTTCATGGAAAAGTTCTTGATCAGGGCTTCTGAAGACAGAAAGGTATTTAGGCCAAATAAAAATACTCAATCACAATTAGTGGTGATAATGTGTTTAATATGTGATCCTGTGCACAATGAAAAATATTGAGCGTTTCTATAGTTTGTGGTATTTATGAATATCCCCATTTTACAAATGGAGGCACGTAGAATGACTTGCCCAAATGTGATGGGGTATGTAAAGCCCACATTGGGGAGCAAGGGGTTAAGGAACAGCTCTGGGCCCAGGCATCTCTGCCCAGCCACTCCTGCAAAGCCTGCACAAACTGGAAGCAAAAAAGGGGAGCAGAGCAGTTCAGAGGCAGGCAGCAGAAGGGAGCAGGTGGCTGCTCGGAGGGGAAAGTACTGCCCAGGAGCTCATTGCCTAAGACCTGACAACACAGACCTGTGCAAACCCACCAAGTAGAGGTAAGTGACTGAGTGTGGGGGTCAGAGCCTTGATTGAAATGATTTACTCTGGGAAGCTAAAAGGAGACTGCAGTAGGAAGTGGTTCAGGGTATGGGGGGCAGCAGCTTAGCATCCCATGGTGTTGGATGTAGCTGCCAACATTGGGCCCTAGAACAGACTCTGGTGGAGATGGCGGACTCAGTCTCCCCTACCCACTCAAAGAGGATGTTACGACACCAGGAGTCTTCACTTAGGTGAGAAACCAGCAGGTCTGTGTCCCTTCCCCACCCCCCATTAGCCACTGGGGGGAAGCGGCCTGGACAGTGAGGCACCCCGGAAGGGGAACTGAACTACAGAGCCGTAGCCAGGAAGCTCCAAGAGGGCGAAGACATTGTCTCCAGGGAGGGAGCCCTGGGGTGCTGCTTTATCCCAGAGGAGGGACAACCAGAGAGAGAGTGCGTGTGTGCAGGCATGCGCACTCAGCCAAAGGGGCACTCACGAGGGGTGAGTGCACTCTGTTACATCCATGAATACCCTTTGCTACCTTAGGGACTTACAAATGAGCCCTGTGTGAGGTAAAAATGTCTTGTTTCAGTGTAATGGGTGCAGTGGGTAGGAAAGAATCTGACAGAAAGCTTTCTTGCCTCAGGGGTCTATTAAGTAACTTTGCTTATAATAAGGACTGTCCCTGCAGCAAGGAATGTTCCAATAGTCATACCAAAGGCTAGTTTGAATAGGAAGAATTATAAGAGTTTACACTAAGGGCTTGATTGTGAGAGGTGCAGACAAGCAATTCTCATACTGGTTACCTGATGTGTAAAAGCTACGCAAGTTCAAAAGCTATTCACTGGTGTAGCACTGGAGATAAGATTTCCAAAGAATACTGGGATACTTGGTATATTCATTTGTATGCAAGGACCCAGACTGCTCCTTCAGCTCCATCGCTATGTCAGAATAGTTCCTCAGTAGTGCTGGAGCACTGAGAACACACTGAAAGATCTCAGTGCTTGTGAGCCCACTACGGGTGAAATTCACTGCTATGCAGAGGACAAGTACAAAGCCTCTGAACCACCTGACTCCCACTTAAGCTTTATTTTAGGAATTAAAGGGACCTTCAATGGTCACAGGCCTTAGGGTGAAACTGATTCTGCACGGAGGGGCCATCCCAAGCATAAAGTTATTTTTTCTTGTATTTTAAAAGGGGAATATTTTGGAGGATTTTCCTTATTTCTAGCCTTGGTTCTTGCTTTCCATGAGTAAGAGATAATCGAAGACCAAATCCTGACTTCAGTGTGATTCAACACCTGTCAGAATTTAGCCCTTTGCTGGACCTATTTAAACACTGGATCAGTTTTAACAAAATAAAGCGGGTTTGGATCAAAATGTATTTTATGGATTCAATAAGTTTATATTTCAAAGTTAGTTAAATCATAATGTACTTCCAAGGAGTACACATGAAATGCAAAGAGAATTTCGATGTGTCAAAAGCAAAACTGTCTTTCAAGAAGGGCCAACTCCCAATATTTATTGCTATGTTGAGACCACATCCAGTCAATACATAGCACTGTAGCTATAGTCTCTCTTTCCTGTCCTGGTATTAAAGAAACTTCATATCACTTCTGAGGCCATAACTGGAACGTTTACATTGCTATAGTCTTGTACATTTTGGAAGACTCAGTCTTCTTGTAAAATCTTGATTTTAGACTCAGTGTGTTAAGGCAGGGGATAACATGTGGACAAGAATAATAATAAAGGGGAACTGAGAAAAGTTGGGGTTGTTTATATTGCAAGTTTCCCTAAACAGGCACTCCAGATCATGGTCTTGGTGCAATAATGTCAGAACTTTCCCATATCCTTCCCTCATGCTATTATTTCTCCCAATCGAAACGGTGTCTGCTCAATCATTTTGCTTCTAAGCACAGTGGGAAGAGGATGGAAGCTTAACCAAAACTAACAATGTAAGTGAATGTGCTGCAGTAGCCTGAGAGAAATGCAGCTAACCCAACTTCCAAAATACTAACATCATCAAGTTCCCAAGCTGCTCAACTTTCCCTGGCCTTAGTGACAACAGATTCAAACCTACAGCTGAACCTTTGTCTCTTTGAACAGCAGTGAAATGCAATGTCACCATCAAGTTTCTGGATCCTAATGAGGCCATTATTACAAGCACAATTAATTTTTAAATAAAACACTGATTTGTTTAACTGTACTTCCATTTTTCACATCAATTTCTCTGATCCATGCATGTAAGTTCAGAGTCATTTCTCACACTGGATATGTTTAAATCAGTTATAACAGCATGTTTTAATGATGTAACATTTCAGCATTCACAGATTTGTTCCTTCTCAAAGGGTCACAGGCATTAAAGCATCAATTGCCCTTCACCTCATTGATCCATGCAAGGATGTACTATTTACTGTTCTCCTAAGCAGTGGGTTATAATGTTTGGTAATGTAAGGACTCAGTTCTGCAAGGTGATGAGTGCTCTCTAGTCTAGGGTCTTCCACAGGAGCAATGGGTGCTCAGTAACTCATAAGATCAGGCCTGAAAGCATTCAAACTTTCACAGACTCCGTTCATGTTCATCTCTCTCTGCCACCGATATTTATTCCAATTTCCTTGTTATTAGCATTTACTTGGATTGTGAGAGTTCCTTGCAGCACAAGAGTAACTAACTTGCTTCCCAAAAAAGAATGGTTGTTCATAATTAAGGCTACGATTTTGTCATGGATATGTTTAGTAAAAGTCATGGACAGGTCATGGGCAATAAAGAAAAACAGCCAACTCTGTCCACATATCTATTCAAGTGACATCATTATAGGACCTAATCACATCAG